TTTACTCGCACAGCTCTGGTGGATTCTCACCCAACACTAAGCATATTTTTCGTTCACAGTTATTTATATGTGGTGGTGTAAGGTCGTGTGGTGCCGGCTAAGAATGTCAGAAAATGATGGCGGCTAACTGTTCTCGACAACTTGTATATACGTGGAGGCACCGTTATACAGGGTGTCAATGTAATTATAAATTCCATAAGTTAAGGGTTAAGTAAGAAATCCTAGACAATTTTTTAAACGAAATAATTTGCCGACATCGGTTGGCTGGTCGTGAGCGCGTTCGCCCGAGCATGAGCATGCGCTGCTTTGGGCGAAGCACGTTTAAACCAACCGCGCGGTTATAGAATAAAAGCCTAGGTATTTGTAAATATTTTTATAGGATCCTTTGCCGATACTGAACCTATCCTTAATTTATGGCACGCATTGAAATAAACCCCCTATATCTACTCAACTACACAACATTTCCCTAAGCCCCTAGTCTATGAGCGATGATGGAAAGATTACTTTGTGAAGCCGGTAAAGCTCACAGTTAATAAAGCGTAAAGCGATGTTTTATTAATTTTAATGGGCAAAGAATCCAATTTGATTTTCGAGAAGCTCTATGTAGCAGGTGCGGTTCATTCGCAAGAAATTATGGTTTAAAAATTCAGTTTCAGTGAACAGATAATATTTTTCTGTTCAGTGGAGCGCGGCAATCTTTATCGTTGCCCAGCGAAAAGGGAAACGACTTGTTAAGGATTACTTATTCAGAAATGAACTTGCCCGCGCTGGAAGCTAATTTTGGGCAAAAGAAGATACAAGAAGGCGCTTTACACACATAACGTCCGTTGGTGCGTTATTTTTGCGCAACGCTATCCGTTATGTTTGAAAAATACGATTTTCCACCTTATTTTCATACATATTACTGCAAATATTTTAAATCAAATGCAAATATTTTAAAGGGTGAACCAGCCCACGAAACTGAGCAACTTTCCCCAAGAAACATAAGGGTCGAAATAAGAAAAAAATAATTGGACCTCCCATACAAATTGACTCAGTCGATTTTGTTTGGGAGGTCCAATTTTGTTTTCATATTTCGACCTAGGTTTCTTGGGGAAAGTTGTTCAGTTTCATGGGCTGGTTCACCCCTTAAAATATTTGCAGTTGATTTTTTTACACCTTATATAGGTACGGTTTATGTGAATCGGTTTGACAGACGCATTCGTTAGCGCAAAAATATCGCACCACGCTGCTTTGACGGAATTATTATTAGTCAAACAATTTGACCAACCGTATTTGTATGAGAATAAGGTCCAAATTCGTGTTGTCCTAACGCATGCGTTACGCAGTGCAAAAATAACTTCGAAATGGCGTTAAGTGTGTAAAGCGCTTAAAGCGTCTCTTACACGAACTCATGATTTTAGTTCGAAATTAGGATCCAGTTTTACGAAAACACTACTACAACCACAATAACCACAACAGTCCACTGCCGGACATGGGCCTCCCCCAATAGGAGGGTATTGCTCACAACGCTTGACAGGCGGATTAGAGAGCGCAGTGCAAGGTGTTGAAAATATTCACAGGGAACGCTGCTGCCCATTACCTGGACGCATCGTCGCCTTTTACGACATCCACGGGTAGAAATGGGTTGATGCTATTCTAAGTTAGTACCACGCGACTTTTGATATCCGCTGCTGTGCACCCATACATAACGCATGCGTCTGTCAGAAGCGAAGGAATTTCTTTTACCAAACTAAAAACGGACGCTCACTAAGGAGCAATGCGAAAACCTGCGATGTTTGACAGACGTTGTTTCTGTGCAACTTATTATGTTAGATGCAATATATGCTTATTCCCTTTGCACCAACGGATGTCAAGAGTGAGATTCGCCATGGGTAAGTATGGCGGCTATCTTAAACCGCAGTATCTTCAGGTGTGTATACGACTTCCCTCAGCTGCTGCTTACCTCATACATTCATAATCTTAATGGAGTAAGACCTTAAGTAGTGTCAAATTTGCTGCCGAAAGTGGTCCACTAGTTGCAAAACTGGTTGCCTCGTGACCCGAAGGTTTAGCTAATACTTAGTATCATCAATATTCGTATTATATTATTGAATAATACGAATTTTCACCTTATTTTCTTTCAAATAAGGTTTATGTGAAACGGTCTGTTTGGCGGACGCATCCAATATGCGTTGGCGGAAAAATATTGCACGATGCTGCGTCGACGGAAGCATTTGTCAAATAATTTGACATTAAGCCAAATATTTCTGATACAATATAGGTATTAATATCAATAAACAGCATCGGGTCTGGATGCAAATACCAATTTATTTAATACACTTCCCGTGTATAAAATTTTTGGAAATCTTGCAAACTGTCCACCGCAGGCTGGATTTGAACCAGGGACCTTCGCCATCTGTATTGGCGACGCCTCTACCAACTGGGCTACAGCAACTCAGTCCAAGCCCGCGGCAAGTGTATCTTGACTTGACCACTAACTAACGCGTGGTAGGGCTCCATCTACTGGGATAGTTTTTGCAACAAATTCCCAGTGACGAATCCATTCTTTACAGATTGGATTGGAATTGGAATTGGACTTTATTGGATTGGATAAATTGATTACCCAATTTTTTTAAAACACTTCCCGTGTTAGGTATACAATTATTGGAACACTTGCAAAATTGCTCTGAAAACTTTTGCAAGTTTTCCAAAAACGGGTCTGGATGTACTTTGCGTTACTTTTGTCCATGGCACCCTGATACAGAGAGTCCTATTGGAATCACTGAGTGTGTACTTGTTTTGTTTTGTTTTGTTTATGTTACAGAGATTCACATTGCTTAGTACAGAATGTAATCTAACTGGCTGAAGCTTTGATCCAACTTAAAATTAAATTGTATTTCACCGTTTTCAAAACTAATTTAAATTGCCAGGAAATTGGCTCTAGATATTTGCTATCTACGTCTGTTTACGATTACCTACATATATCACGCCTACATCCCTTGTGAGGTAGGCAGAGCGAAAACGGCCATTTACACCAGTCTGACAATTAGTTTGAGAGTCTATCAGAAGATTGTGTATCACCATAGTAGTCAGCCTGTTGCCAAAAATTACACATCAACTCTTAAACCCCGCTTCTTATGACATCCACGGAAAAGATATGGGGTGATGCTATTCTAAGCTGGCTCCAAGCGGCAAATGATGATTACCGAACATGTGATAAAAACCCAAGCCAAATATCGGATGTTAAAGTTGTAGTATTTATTCTAAAATAATTTAGGTACATACTAGCGGCCTGTAGATATTGGATCTTTGCTCGTTATTTTAAATCGTCTGAATGTAATTTTAGAGTGCCGTACCGAAAGGGTAAAAACGGAACCCTATTACTGAGACTTCGCCGTCTCTCTGTCCGTCCGTCTGTCGACAGGCTGTATCTCATAAACCGTAATACTTAGAGAGTTGAAATATTCACAGATGCCGTATTTCTGTTGCCGCTATAACAACAAATACTAAAAAACGGTTAAAATTAAAATTAACGGGGCTCTCATACAACTAGTGACACGGCACCCTTCGTGCACGACTCCGACTCGCATTTGGCCGATTCTTCGTTTGTATCACGTGACGTTTCACCTTAGCGGACGAATTCGAATTTCTAAGTCCATATACATTTTTACCATTCCTCTCACATCTATAGGCAGAATATAACTTTATGTGCGACAATTTTTGTACACTACCTTATAAGTACAATTTTTAGGGTTTCGTAGTCTACTAGAAACCCTTATAGTTTCGTCATGTCTGTCTGTCTGTCTGTCTGTCTGTCTGTCTGTCTGTCTGTCTGTCTGTCTGTCTGTCTGTCTGTCTGTCTGTCTGTCTGTCTGTCTGTCTGTCTGTCTGTCTGTCTGTCTGTCTGTATGCCGCGCCCTCATATCTTCGTCAGCTTTAAAGCTATCGACATGAAATTTGGGGCGAAGATAGATCGTGTTGACCCAAATATAGAAATGTTAAGAAAAAAATATTTAAAATGTTTTTTGGACCCCCTCCCATACAAGTGAAAGGGGGGCAAAAATATTTTTTTTCTTCTGTAATATTGAGTAGGGTATCGTTGAATAGGTCTTTTAAAACTAAGGTGAGGTTTCTTTGAAACAAATTCTCTAAAATGTTTCTGTCACGAGATATTTGCTTTTAAAAAGGGCGATTTTGACCCATAATTTGTTCCAGCTGTAACTTCTAAAGTATAAACGCTATAAATTTGAAATAAATATGGAATATAGCTTACAATCTGCAGTTACAATGAAAACTATAACGGATATCGTACCCTTAAAGGTTTCAGAAAAAATTGAGTTTTTCTATTTGCGGTTGGTCATCATACTGCTGCTAACAAACCAGCAATAAATTTAAGTTTGTAATGCTGAAAAACCTGATATTTAAACGTTGACTACGAAACCCTATTTGTGGGCGTGTCTGACACGCTCTTGGCCGGTTTTTTCTGTTTCATGCCGTGCCACTATTGTCTCTTTTTAGATTTTTGATTCAGCGAAATGGACACCTGCGGCCTTAGTTGCAATTCGATAAATTAGTCTAGACGCCGTCTAAATGCCGTCGGCGGCTCTAAAGCTATAGTCCGGGACGGTTGGCATTATTTGGGGGCACAACTTATAAAAATCTAAAGTTGCTTAAATTTTTGTATAATTGTGTTAGTGTGTCTTTACAGAACATATTACGTACAGCATGTAATGTTGGTAAATAATTGTAGTCAATTTTTAAGTGTCTATTATTAAATTAATATTAGAAAATATACCAGTTTTGTCCATGTGACAGTTTACACAGCGTGACAACAACCCAGTTTGAGTCGATTTTACCCGCTGCAAATGAAAGTATGTTAGCATACGCCATGACACAAAATAATAAATTTCCAAAAAAACCACGGGCAAAAAATAAACGGCTTTTATATTGGATACTAAATTTTAAAAAGCTTCCAGTGCTAGGGAACTAACAATTTTTGGAAAACTTGTAAAATTTTCCATCGCGGGTAGGAATTGAACCTTCGACTTTAGGCATCTGCACTGCCGACGCCACTATCAACTAGGCTACCGCAGTTCAATCTTATCCTGTGAATTAAGCAAGTATATGTTGTAAAAAAAAAACTTTAATATTTTGAAAAACATGAAAATCTAGTCGTACTGGACTACCAAACCGCATACCGCACGCTTGACACGCTCGCTTTCCCGCTAGCTTTCCACAAAGGAACCTTTGTCAAACATTTTTCACCTAAAAACAGTTGTTTCCAAATTGAATGCGAGAGGATAGAAGGATACAGTCAGCAAAAAACTGCACGAAAGCTTTGCGGTAGCTATCGACAGCAAAAATTTTTTCGACACATTTCCAGAGGCAACATTTGTTTGTATCGATAAACTCCAAGACTGATTTCAAAAATTCTTTCACCATTAGAAAGCTGCAACATTCCTGAACATAGGCCACTTTTTTGGGTTTTCTTTGGGTCGTTGAGTCAGCGAAGTTAGTTCATTTTATAAAAACACACGTACCTAAAGTTATCGCAAAAGATCATAATATGTAGGTAGGTAGGTATGCTTTAAATATAATGATCAGTATTTTCTCCGCAATAAAATCATACCTACATATTTATTGCAACAATAGCTCCATCTATTGTCATAAAGCTGCGAATCGGTCTACAGGGAAAGTTGAAGGCTAAAAAATATTGTATTACTTAGCAAAAATAGCATATCGAGTTTTTTATTACACTTTTGTCTCCTTTACAGACAAAAGTCCATCCAACTTTTGAACGGGAAACGTCCAACCTTAAACGATACTGTAGGTACATACTACAGTACAGTTGGTAGTCTAACATACTATCCACTGTGAGTCTTTACAGATGTTTGAATCTTTTCTCGAATCTCTGAAAGTTATTAGGAAAGAAATTGCTTTCATCTTAAATCGAAATTGTCGGAGGTCTTTAAATCTCAATTCAATTTCTATTTATTACTGAAAACTTACTGAAAACGGCGCGTTGTATGGTTCTAGTTGTGTGCTAGCCATAAAGAATTGTGCTTGGAACCATTTTCAACGTGCTTCGTTTTATAATTTAGAAAACCTTTGTGGGTTTAACAATTACTTACCTCGTATTGGAAATACCTCTTTAGAGGCAAGTAAGTATAGAATTTGATTTTTAAGAATAAGGCAACCATTTTATGATGTTAGGAATTCTACTACAGGGTGCTCGCACAATGTGTGTTGATACATTTTGCCAAAATTTTGACCGGTGCAGTGAGTCACATTAACAAAATCCATTCTGCCATCTTTATGCGACATATACAGGGAGTAACAAAAAAGAGTCAAGGTACTCATGAAACTGAACAATTCCCCATGGAATATAGGTCGAAATATGAAAACATACCTCCGATTGTAAATCAATCAGCTAATCAGCGATTTTGTATCAAATTTTTTTCTTTTTTCGATACATGTTCCATGGGGAAAGTTGTTCTGTTTCATTAGAACCTTAACCTCCTTTCGGTTTTATTTGTTGTTTTGTAACACCCAGTAGGAGGGCACTATAAAATCGTATTCAACGGGTTTGTCTCTTTCCTCGGTCAGTTTTACTTCTCGTTTTGTCGTGAATGTGGCGTTATGAGCAAATGTCGGGAGCCCGCCACCCGCTGCCGAGAATGGCCCCCATTTGTCATACCGCACTACTTACATCTTATATTCGCGCATTTTTATTTCCGTGCGATGCCGGCTTGGAATAGCATTGCCCCATTTCTTTGTCGTGTCGTGAGAGGCGACTAAGGGACTGGAGGGTCTGATAACAATTGTCAATACAGTAATATGTACACTAGTTTTTGAAATGACGCTTAAATATTTTGAGCTGTGGCGACAGTTTCCGTTTTTACCGCACCTTACGCTCTGCCTACCCCGCAAAGGTGTTATGTGAACGGGTAGATGAATAGGCATGTACAAAAAATTTGAGGGACCGGAGCTCCGGCGCAGCGCTTATGGAAAAGCTACCACTACTCAGAGCCTCCATACATTTGAAATAAGGTAGCTTTTTCTGACGCAAAACGCGAAATATGTCAATGAAAAACCTACCTGAATTCAGAAAATTGACGCCATTTTGAAATCGCCATGTCACATCGCTAGGACAAAGAAAATTCTAATTTCAAAATTTCTTTTAATTTCAAGTACGAGTATATCTTGTTCAAAGTCGTAAGGTGTCAAATAAGTACATAAAACATAATCGTGTATCTATACAATGACAAAATAGGAAGTAGAAGTTTGATTCAAAGATAAAAGATAGTATAAAATCTCTTGGATAGCTCCGGTAGATTCATAGTTTTTCCGGCATACAGGAACTACGATGAAGTCATGTTCAAAATATTATCTATTTTTATTTTAGTGCATGTGAGTTTTTTTATTTGGTAGGTACAGTACCATCAGCAGAAGATCAACCTACCTATTTGAGGGATCAATTTGTACTAGTTTGTATATTGCTATACTTGTAATTTATAGAATAATTTTATACGGCTTTTTCATACAGGTACCAAAGTTACCCAGTATTGGCAGGTATATCAAGGTGCTGCATAGGTACCTATACCTACACTTCTTATCTAAAGGCGATGTGGCGCAGTGGTTAGTATGACTGCCTGCCACGCAGAAGGTTCCGGGTTCAATCACAAAGTTGATATTTATCACTTTGTGAATTTGTTCCCAGTCTGGTTAGGAGGGCATTGCAGGCTGAACCACCTGATTGTCCGGAAAGCAAGATAGTTCCGTGCTTCGGATGGGCACGTTATGCCATGCCGTCGTTCCCGCCTCTGTCTATGATGGATGGCAGTCGTTACACAACCATGTCAGAGGCCTGCTAATTGCAGGAGGCGATAGATAAAACTCAGACAGCAGGATTTATCGGGTCGTTAAACGACTCGGTGTTCCACACGAAGAGAGAGAGAGAGAATCTAGAGGTACAGTCAGATAATAGTGTTTTGCCTGATCTGAGCTGATAGTGAATCTATAACTTAGACTTAGAAAAAGGCTGTTAAAGGTTAGGTGTGAGGTCCGGGTTGGCGCGAAATGCTCGTAGAAGCTCGCTGAATCGCACGTACCGCGCAAATACCGCGCCTTATCGCGCACATACAGCGGCTTTTCACTCCTCACCGCGCCGTATCGCGCCGTACTACGCCTTACCGCGCCTGATTTTTGTTTGAGAGTCATTCAGAAAACTGTGTATCACCATATTGACAGGTTGTCAGTCTGTCGCCTAAAATTACAAAACACATCAACACTCAAATCCCTTTGTCGCTTCTTACTACACCCACGACAAAAGATATGGGGTGATGCTATTATCACACAGCTATTTAAATGCCGTGTGATGCCGGCTATGAATAGCATCACCCCATTTCTTTCTTGTGTGTGTCGTAAGAAGCGACTAAAGGACTTGAGGGTTTGATGTGTATTGCAAATTTAAGCACCAGACTGACAACCTGTCACTATAGCGATACACGACAACAGCTAAAACGGCCCTCAAATATTTTTACGGCCGTTGACGCTCTGCCTATCCCGCAAGGGATAAAGGCGTGATGTACGTATGTATGTATCTAAATATTAGAGCGATAGTAATGGATCAATACTTAGATTGTGTAAAAGTAATCGCGAGTGCGTATGAAGTTAAGTTCCATTAATGGCAGTACCGAATGTACCTGCCATTAATGGGAGAAATATTCTTAACATCGTCACAAACGCTCTTTATTCGTGGTAACTCTATGTGTCTTATTTTCGTTTATAAAATGTTGATAAACTCGTAATCTCCTAATTCGTATCTTATAAGGATCTGAGTAGCGGTAGGTTAAAACAGTTCAAATCCGGAATGACATAAAGAAATTGCTAGCGCTATTCAGATTGACAGCGATCTGAATAGCGGTAGGTATTACATAAGCGCTCCGGCGCAGTATTTGATAGATAGGCACTTTAAACACATAAATGACGTCCGTTACGACGTTATTTTTGCACTGGGTAACGCATGCCTAGGGACAATGCGTATTTGGCACTAAATATGGTTAATGTCAAATTATTTAACAAATGCTTCCGTAGACGCACCGTTGTGCGATATTTTAACGCTAACGGATGCGTCCGTCAAACCGTTTCAGATAAACCGTAGTTGTATGAAAATGAGGTGAAAAATCGTATTTTTCAAACGCAACGGATAGCGCTGCGCAAAAATAACTCACAAACGGACTTTATGTGTGTAAAGAGCTGTAACTTTGACAGGTGGTGGTCAGCAAATGACAGCCACACGGCAATGCAGTTTAATGCCATTATTTTACAATAACATTGGAAGACAGAGCACAATAAAATGATGCGGCACGTGGGAGCGAACATATAAAGATATGAGGTGTAAGGAAACATTGCAGGCATGATCAGACCACAAACCTAAACAACTTTTACTGTAGATCCTAGGTTTAAAGGACAAAAGTAGATTTTCCTTAGCAAGTCAGTCTGTTCGGGAGTTTTGTATGGGAACCGATATTTTTTCGTCTACTATCATATTTCCGTACAAAAAATGTTAAGTTCCACGGTTTTAATATGCCTGTAAAGCTTAGAGTAAAACATGCTGTACAGTGCGCAAAACTAGGCACGAACAGTTGGCAACAGGTGTACGAACACAACCTCTCTGTCCATCAGTAGTAAAACGACAGTGATGTTGTACTTGAATCACTCTATCTATATAAAACACCGCATCTAAATCCGTCGCGTGGTTTGCAAAGGAGGAGTTAGCAAATTCTACGACAGACAGACAGAGAAACACAAAAAGCGACTTCATTTATACCTTCTATGCGTTAAAGATGTAGCTGCAAAGTTTTCGGTGCCCCGCCCGTTACACCCGGTATGGCCCGGTATACTCACGTACGTTTCAAAAGGACCTTCAGCTGAGTTGTTTATTCTATTTCTATTTTTAAGTTGTTTTCTTCTTTTGCACTCAAGAGAATTTCTATTTGCTAATCTTGTTAAGTGTTGTTTGTTCTTCTTAAGTGAGTGTAGGTATGTTACGATCACATACTTTCAAGGATTCTTGCTTCATGATTTACTTT